ACCCTGTGAGTTCAAGTGGGCTCAGGACTAAACCCTGGGGAACTCCACACCTTATATCAGAGGTACAGCAGGTCAAGACTAATGAAGACCTACAATAATAATCAACATATTCCCCTCGAAAAGGACGATGAGGACATAGATACGGATGTCTTTATCTCTTTCTTTATGGGACGTTGATCATCTGGAGGTAGTGGTATGTAAAGTTGTGAATCATCTGCATAAATATGATGATTAATTTTGAATTTCTGGATGATATACATAAGCGGGAGCATGTAAATGTTAAATGGTGATGGTCCAAGGATTGAGCCCTGAGGGACACCAAACTCCATATGAACTCCCTGTCCTATAGGCGGGTTTTAAACCAGTCTAGGACTTTACCAGAGTGTAGTCGAGTATTATGGTTCGCAATATCGGAGGAAGGATCCAAATGGAAGAGGACCGATCATTTTTCTTACGTCAGTAGCTGTTTTTACATGGGCACAAACTAATCAGAATAAAGGCCTGATCGGAATAAAAAAGCATCATGTAAACATGTCGATCTGAAAATTCTGATCCAATTCCGCTCAATCAGAAAGAAATTGTATTCCGATCGATTGGGGTGGTTTATGCCGATCGTTATTCAGAAATGCGTCCATGTAAAGTCTTATTCTGATCGTGACTCTGTTTCGGTGCGTTGGTGGGATCAGAAACTTGACTGATAAATGTCTAGAACTTTATTTAATGCATCAAATAAATAACAGACTTTCATACTGCGGTCCTGCTCTGGAAAGACTCTGGACAAAAGCAACAAAAAGGTGCACTCGATAAGGATCCCAGAGAAACACCATTTAATCTCAATCCTTTTTCCTCTTAGTCATGTTTGTAACAACAGATCCTTTATAAAACGACTAATATGAAAGTTACCCTAAATCACGGCATGAAGCTAGAATGGGAAGTTTGACGACATCATTCGACACATTAGTTTATAATACCATCATCTTGATTCATGTCGTTTTGTTTACATGCTTGATCCGTATATAATCAGAGTCTGTTCTCACCTGTCTGCTTCTGCTGCACTCGACCCAGAGGTTTTTACACATCGTCAGAGGCAGCATGTGCAGCAAATGTTATCGTTAAAGTTAGAGCTTCAAATGTGCCCACGACACATTAGACTAAAGTGAGCACTTGTAGTTTGAGTTTGGTGTCTGGACATCATTTCCTGGAGATTTCATTTCCACCGAGCGATTCGATCCAAACTATTTCCTTTCCCCTCCTCCTTATCCCAAACACTTTCCTCTCACTTCTGCATCCTGAGCGCTCATTTGCATATTTTAACTCGACTTGCTCATTTCACAGTATTTCATCAGACCAGCTTGGTTTTATTAGTGCAGCTCACACACGGTGCAGAGGCCTCAAACAGAGCCGGTCTCTTTGTGTGGCTCCTCCTTTTCCTCCTCCGGGGACTCAACTCCTCTTACAAACATGCATTTTCATGCATTAGTATTCCATTATCGTAAATAATGATTCAATTAATGCTCATCATATCTGTCATGCAGGCCATTAGCAGCTCAGCCCCTCTGGCGTCCTATCATCATGTTGCTGCAGAGAGCAGGAAGTGGAGGGGCGATAAGAGCAAAGTGAGCGCGGAACAGAGAGGGTTTAGAGATGAACAATGAAGATGTCAGGACGGCGCACTCGTTCGACGGGAGCTGCTTAAAAAAGACAATAAAAAAGCTAATAAAGCCGAGCAATCTACGGTGAGTGATGAGAGCCAGAATTAAGCAAATAATGAATTTATGACGGCTCAGTAATATCAAAAACGCAATATCCGAAGTGAGCGATCCAGAGCACAGAAACATATGAAATGATGGATAATAAAAATAAAGTGTTTGTGTACACTTGGTAAATGAGAGTCCAGTAATTACATCATTTTTAATGAAGGGGGGGCAGATTTATACGGAAGAGGATTAGGACCACAAGAAGAGAAAAAAGTAGGTTTTTTAAAATTTCCATTTTGAGATTAAAGTCGAAATTTTAAAAAGTCAAAATTAAAAAAAAATGAAATTGGACATTAAAGTCAAAATTTAAAGATAAAAAATATGTTTCAACTTTAATTTCAACTTTAATCTCAAAATTTCCAACTTTAATCTCAAAATTTCAACTTTAATCTCCTTCCTGTAATATAATTTTTTTTACTCTTCATGTGGCCCTGATCCTCTTTCGTAGATTTTAGACACTTCACAAGATGAGGATCAGCCTAAAAAACAGGCAATATTAACCGGACCATTAGGCGGGGTCATATCTGGGTATACATGCCATGGGCTTGAGCTTCTCGCTACACTGCCACCTACAGGTTTGGCATGCTCTCAAAGGCATGTATACACAGGTAGTGTAAACAAAAACTTTTCTGAAAATGTAGTGGTGTGCATGCAGGTTTTTTTTGTAAATGTAGAGGGTGAAATATTGTTTATGAAAACAGCCGTGCATGTGTAAACATAGTCTCAATTTCTGGCATGTTAGAAATTTTGAACTCTTATCTGCATTGAAAGCTTCCCAAGCCACCTTATGTCTGAAAATCTCATTTTACTACGAGGTAAACATCCAAGTAGGGTCAGGGTAAAAGATTCATCTGTTTGCATTCACACATGCAGCCACCTCTTAAAGATTTGGAAATGTTTTCAGGAGTTTTTAAATTTACAACTCCATCAGATTTCTTGGTTCAGCTACTGCAACTCCTGCTTTATTTCACACTCTCCTCTGTGACACAAAAACAGTCACTGCAGACACTTTAAACACACAAATGTAGTTTAAACACAATATTTCCTTTAGAGCTGCATATTTCATTGGAGAATAAAAGTGCCTGCAGCCTGAAAACACTTAAACGATCACAGCCATGCTGCAGAGTTTGACCTCTGGACCTGAATACAAACACTCGAGTATCATTTGCATCAAAACATATTCATGATGTATTTGTTCTGCTTATTCCAGAGGAGATGTTCCCTGTTAGATTTTACATTTCTGTATTTTGAGTTCTGTGCTGAAAGCATATTTTGGAGATGATCAAAAGGTGTTCAGTTAAACAGATATTCCCTCTGCCGCCTCATTTTCCTCTCAAAGTAAAAAAAAAGTGACATTTTCAAAAAAGCGCCGCTTTCCATCCCAGCTTGAGTTTTACAGTCTGCAGCAGTTAGAGGCAGACAGGAGGCGTTTGTCTGAAATTATCCCATCAAGCTCTGTTAGACTGACAACCCATTAAACAAAAGCAACATGCTGCTCCGAGGCTGTGAAACGTGCTGCTGAATCATCTGACAGACTGCTCCTCCAGGCCCCGGGCCCGTTTACACGTTGGATGTTTGCTGTGCAGGAATAAGAGCAGAAGAGGACGACTGATGGCGGTGTTTTTAAGGTCAGGATGTAAAGTTTGAAATGATGCATGTTAGTTGGACTGAAATGAAGCAGTTCGTGGATCTTACTGATGCAGAGGCGGTTTTTGCTGTGGGCAATGTGGGCGACCGCCCGGGGCGCAATCTATGTGAGGGCGCACGAGACTTCTAGACTACTGTTAATTTCTACGTCAAGTTAGTGGAGTGGGCGCTCCTCTTATCACGCCAACATGCTGCTGAGAGTCATGTTTACAGGTTAAGTGTCGCTCACTGTCAGGAGAAAAGGCAAGGGGGGTGGGGGGGTGGGAATTTGTGAGTGAGTGAGTGAGTGAGTGAGTGAGTGAGTGAGGCTATTTTCAAATTGGCATACTGCAGACTCCTGCCGACCAGTAAATACTGCATACTAAGTACTGTGTTTGATAGTAGTATGTAGTATGACAGCAAGTCGGCCATTATAATGTAGTATGCTTGGACTGGTTTAACTGGTTTCTGGTATGGAAAAGTCGTACCCTGGTAAACTGCACAGACACTACAGTGTTGTTCATTCATTTTCACACCAAAATCTTTTATGTGGCGCTCAGACACTCAATATCTGCCTATCGTGTGTGTTAGCTGACAGATACTGATTAAATACTACATTATTATTAAACAGAGACTATTGTACTGTCTATTCAGCAGACGGCATCACCTCTGGATCTCATCAATAATGAATGGCGTGCCTCAGGGTTCTGTTTCGGGACCACTGTTTTCATTCGTATGCAGATGATAGTGATATTTACTGCTCTGCTCCAACACACCTTTTCATCCATGAGTTCAAACTGATCTTTAAGTTAAAACTCATGATGTTTGTAAACTCACAGGAATGTGTTGGAGACTTTATATCAGGAGGATTCTCGATCAATGATTATCAGTCTGATAAAGTTTTTACTCTGTAACTTGTGAAGAAGTTTAATCTGCAGCTGGGCTTCGATTTCATGATTAGTGTTTTTGTTTTGCAGCAGAGAAAAGACCTCCTGCTGCTGCTTTTTAAAACTTGTATATTTTTCATTTCATGTTTTTGCTGCTTTTTGCTTTTACTCACACTCCATTACATGAAACGGATTGAACAGACACAGTCAGTGGAAACCTGCAGGTACTGTCCAGGAAGGTGAAATTCAGAACAGCCAGAGTCTTTTTTTAAGATCCCTCCGTTTTTTCTTCTTCTTCTTTATTTACCCTTTCATGAGCGCGGTGAACAGATCAGAGCGCTGAGGCCCAGTAGGAGTCTTCGGGGTTTTACCTCCGGTCAGAAATATTGTTTGGTTTTAAAGTTCGGGGTTGAACTGTATTTTTTCTCGGACTGTTTGGCTGCAGTTTGAAATACAGAAAGAGAAAAGACGGATGTGTTTCTTTCAGTGACCTGAGTTTGCTGACGTTAGGAGGACCTGACTGTCAACAGGAGGCAGCAGATGCAGTAGGTTGTGTCCTTCCAGAGGAGGAAATCCACTCTGTCCTGACCAATAGATCAGACACTGTCATGGAGATTGGGAATCAACCGTGGGTAAGTGCAATATTTATCTTCATCTATGAGACAAACCACATTTGCATGGTGTGAAATACGGTCTGCCTAAATCACGTGTTTTATTTTGAAAAGAAGCATGTGGTGGAAATTTGGGGTCAGCGATAGGAATAGGGTCAATTTAATACCCGATTCAAACCCGCAAACTTATCAGGTCTGCTATCGGGTTTCAAGGGTCTCTTAGAGCAACTTTGTACTTTGATGATAAAATCAATAAAACGATAATTAAATCTGTATAAATGCAAACGCGTGAGGCAACATTTCTTCAAAAGGACTGGAGAACAGAATCAATTAGGATTTTAATCCTTAAGGAGTCGTGAGAAATGGTATCAGTATCAATAAGAATGACCGATCCCCATCCCTGGTCAGTGACTAGTTGTCTGTTGCTAAGGACTTGTCAACAAGTTGGTGAAATCTCCGGTAGAGAGGTTTGGCTCAGTGTAAATCTGGTAAAACATCCTGATATCGTGATGTCTTCTGTTGCAGTTCTGGATGGTCCGATTATCATCCCTCAGTATCACCACGCTGGTTTTGATCATTTGGATTCACCACATCATCAACACTGAGAGTCCTCTTTATATGGCGTTTAAGCAGCACATGACCTTCCATTGAAATCCTCCAGCAGCACGTCTGACCGCTTACAGACGTTTTCAGTTTGGTGGAATAGAAAGTCTCTTTCTTAAGACAAACAAAGTACCCACGCCGCTCCTAAAGAACTATCGACACATCCACAGTCGGGCTGAAGTGAGTGACGCTAAACGGCATTTCAGTCCGACCATTAGTGGAGAACCTGTCTGAAGACAGCAGTGATTTTCAGACAGAGCAGACAAAAAGCGTCTTCTTGTCGAGAGCATCATTAGAAACGGGGATAACCTACAGTCTCTCACTCATCCCACCACACTAAGAGCTACAGCTTTGATTTTCTGTTTGGAAAAGCTACAAAAAGATCTCTCGTCGCCGTTTCTGACGACACCGAAGTTGCGGTAGAAAGGTTGTTTCAAATGACACACCGTGCTCTGACAGGCACTTTGTGTGAGACTTACTGACACCGTAATTTACAGAGAAGAACAATTTCTCACATATCAGCTCCAGAGAAGAACAGGAGTGGAGATGTGTGACAGTAAATGTCCCCAGAGTTCATATCCATCCTTCGATCTGAACATTTCTTACATCTGCAACTCTGGGGTCTGGTTCACGAAGAGATTCTGCAGCGATTGCGCCCACAAAACCTGCATGAATGAGCCAAAAAGACAGTCCAGCTCAAAAAAGAGTTTAATCTCACTGTGCAAACATTTTAAAAAAGGATTGTGATTTCAATAAAGAAAAAACCTTACTGAGATGCACAAAAAGCCAAGCTCACAGCCATGAAGTTACACAGTTTGATGTCCCTGCATCGCCGATTTAATATGTAAACTTGTGAATATGAAAGCAGGTACGAAGCTCCTCAAGTTTGCCAACGACACCACCTTGATGGGCTTCATCTCCAAGGGGGACGAGTCGACTTACAGGAAGGAGTTTGAGCAGCTGCACAGTTGGTGCAGCAGCAACAACCTGGAGCTTAATGCCCAAAAGACAGTGGAGATGGTGGATTTTCAGAAGAACACAGCCCCTCCCCCTCCCATCATGCTAGGAGGCACCCTGGTGAACTCGGTGGAGTCCTTTAAGTTCCTGGGCATTATCATCTCCCAGGAGCTGAAGTGGGAAATGAACATCATGGCTCTTCTGAGAAAGACTCAGCAGGGGTTGTTCTTCCTCCAGCAGCTGAGGAAGTAAAGACTGTCAAGGACCATGATGACTCAGCTCTACACGGCCATCACTGAGTCCATCTTCACGCACTCCATCATCACCTGGTTCCCCGCTGCAGCTGCAAAAGACCTCATCAAGCTTCAGCGGGTGATTCATTCTGCTGAGAGGGTGATTGGCCGTCCCCTGCCCACCCTCAAGTCTCTGCATGATTCCAGGGCGATGAGGAGGCCAAGAAAAATCATGGCTGACCCCTCCCACCCTGGCCACAGTCTCCACTCCCTGCTCCCCTCTGGGAGAAGGATGCGTCTGCTGAGGGCCACCACAGCACGCCATAGCACTCAGTTTTTTCCCTGCTGCCAGGCTGTTCACTGAGTCTGGCTTCCCACCTCTTCCCGGCCCCTAGGGACACTGACATTAATGCACTTTATATTTACCTATCTTCTTGCACGGTGTTGTTTGTGTTGTTGGTATTTATGTTGGGAAAAAGGTCCGAAACACACTCATGTAATGGTCGAAGAAAATTCCGATGTGTATTACACAATGGTTACTAAAGGAATCTGAATCTGAATCTGAAGTGTCCCTTTGCCTTTCCCTTTATCAGAGTTGCTCCAAAACTATTCGAGATCTTTAGGACATTGTGAACCAGACTTTGAGATGGAGCTGATGGGAGGACAAGTGATTGACAGATGGTGCTACTAGCATTTAAAATATTTAGTCTTATTCCCTTGTTACTTTGGGAATCCTTGAGAGTAAGCGAAAAACAGTCCTGGCTCATGAAGTTCTGCAGCGCCACACATGTTATTCTTTTTTGGCATCTAATTGTCGAGATGAGGTGTCGGCATCTCCACTTTTAGCTGCACAGAGCGTAGAGCTTCACAGTTACTGGAGTTACTGGGGAGGTATGTGAGTGTGGAAGCTGACAACTTCCTGATGTTTGTCTGGGTCCATCAAAACACGTAATTCTGCAACATCAGACCGTCTCAGCTTTCATCTCTGCAAAGATCCTCCTCCTCCTGCTACGAGGAAGCGCTCTGTTCGCTCAGCAGGCGGCGTGATCACAGGCTCTGATCTGATGCTGAGGGCTGCCAGAGGAGGAGATTAATGGAACAACGTTCTTCTTTGCGGAGATAAAAAAGCCTGTTGTGCCCCTCAGCTCTTCTGGGAAGCAGGATCCGAATGGATATGTCGCAGTTTTGTGGAGATTAGATTAAATTTGGCGGTAATGTGATGCCTTCCTGTGAAGAGCGATAAAGTAGCAGATGCTCTTCTTGTCCCTGCCTTCTGTAGTTCCCATCGACTTCACACTTTTCTGTTTCCCTCCTATTCTCAACCTATACATTCCAGACTTGATTTAGCTCATATCTAACTGCGTCTCCTCCACCCTGCATCACTTTAGGTGGAGTTATTGCTTTTAATCCTTCAGTTATGCAGAGGTTGGCTGCGGTGAATGTAACTTCCATCTTGTTGGAAGCTCTGAGCTGCAGAAACCTGGTGGGCGGTGAAACCAATGGTCTCATGCTGAACTCCAGCACTCTGATTGTCTGTTATAGATTGATTTTACAATGCTAACCATGACGGGAAAGCTGCTGGCAGAGAGAAAGGCAACAGGTTAAACTCTCATGAGTCATCTTTCTCCTGAGTGAATTCACTCCTGCAGAAAACTGTATGCAAAGTCCCCTGACAGTTTCTCATGAGAGAGGCCGAGCTGACAGACCTGTTCACTTAATGTGACTTCACTTCTGAAACACTCTAATGTCCCTTTGAATGGTTGACGATTGGAGGAATTGGTAATTATTATGAACTTTGTTTCTATGGCGATCATGGTCCTGTAGTGCGATCTCCACAAAGTGAAGAGAAAAAAAATTGGAAAAAATCCGTTCACCCTAGCAGGTGCAGGGCTGCAAAAACATTGACCAGTGGGAGACATCCGTCCTTGACAGCTCCTATTGGTCAATCTCCTGCTCCGCCTCCCTATCCAATCCCTCGCTGTGTTCAACACAACCCTCTCCTGTAGCTCCGACTTGTCCCCTCCCACTCTCCCGGCCCTCCTCAGAGCTCTGAGCGGTTAAAAGTAGCGTAGCAGCTTAGCTACAGGAGCTGTGATGGAGAAGGACCATAGACTGTACATACTATGGACAACTTGGTTCCGCCTCCTGCCTGTATACGGATTTGAAGCCAAATAGCTCTCTGTATTTCCGGGATTTTTCTTCATTTCCTGAAACCAGCGCTGTGCAGTAGTGATGCACGTATTCGGGCGCGCAGTCGCCGAGAGTCGCTGTGATGACACTCGGCTCAAACAGCGTATCCTCCGAGAGATCTACGCAATGTCCGGGCAGCTGCAGATGGTGCTCGCTAGCAGAGCTGGCATTTACTGCCGCTAATCACTAACAATCCGACAAGGTGAATCCTATTTGAAGCTCAGAGCAGAGCGTCAACCATGCCTTTAAGACTCAAACCAGAATCGTTTTTCTTTCACCTGCGAACTTTGAGACTGAGATGCACGACTGAGTGTCATCAGCATCTAATTGATAGTTGCCATGGTGATGTGTGATTATAGTAACTGGAAGCATGTTGAAAAAGAAAAGGTCCAAGAACTACACCCCGCAAATGTGTGTATGTGTGTGTGTGTGTGTGTGTGTGTGTGTTTGTGGGGGATGTGTTTGTTTTCTGTACTTTTAAGGACCAAGTACTGGAGAACATTTTCTATGGGGACATTTCTCACCGTAAAGATCTTTTGTGTTTCTTCATAAAGAAATGTTTTCATGGTCTCTCAAAAGGACAGAGCTGCTGTTGTTTCAAGAAGAGGTCACTCTTTCTGTGAATTTATTGTTCCTTGGCTCTTCGGCTCCCCCCATATGACACATCTGGTACTACATCAGGCATTCATGCAGAGGCTTAACTGTCTGCCTGTTGTCTTTTTATTTATATTTTTGATTTGTTGTAGTGTTTTTATTGACAGTACATGGCAGCAAGATAGAGTGGGATACAGGTTTGAGATGTCGTCACTGGGGCCTTTTTTAAAAATCATTTATCAGCCTCTGATCTGTGTTTCTTTGGTTTGCATCTGTATTTCTTTGTCTTGTCTTTTTTAACATGAAAAACACCAACATGAGCACAATAGACAACTTTTATTTATTGATTATTATGATTTAGAAACCACACAAACATGACATGATATCAAGATTAAAAGGAGATGAACCAAAATTGCTTTTTAAAACCGTCACATGATGTCTAATTTTTGTCTGAAACAGATCCGTTTAATCGGCAGGTACCAGAATTACTTATATTACATACAGTATTAAGAGCTTTATCATGCTGTTTATGAATAGGGACTCCACAACAGGACTTTTAAACAGATTTCATGTCCTCTTCTATCCTACAAATACATGCTCAACAACATTACGTTCGATACTGTAAAAGACAATACGACATACAACATACATAAATCAATAACAAAGTTAGAAATACATATGTCTGTATAGAGATACATGCACAGTTGATATATACTTATTAAAGCATGCATATTAGTTAAAACAAAGTTCCTGTCTCAGTCTGCTCTTTGTTTTTACACAGCAGCTGTTCATCTGAATATCTGACTACATGCACACAAAGTACTTCCCCATCACCTCTGGTTTTGGTCACCGTTGACTTAACAAACCAAACTGAATGAAGCTGATTGCTACCCTAGCTCTTATTAAAAAGAGGCGTGGCACATGTGTAATAATTTGTCGCCTGTTCACAATGTCATGGAGATGAAATTGCAGATGTGTTGTGCAGCCTTTGTGTTTGCAGAGCCTGAATTATGCTTTCAGTCTATCATTAAGTTGTTCACAATGCAGGAGGATACAGTAATTTTGCACAGAAGGCAGGTGTAAACATGAATACAGATACACCGAGGGTGAATAAGCATGCCTTTATACAGCTGGATTATCTACCACAATAATCATCATGTGATTTTGGTTGAAACACATTCATTCAGAGAGGAGTCAGTGTCAGGCTACGATTGACCATCTTCAGGCGACAGTTTTGTCTGTTTGATACTTTCCTCACTCTCAGCCTGTCAGCCAAGTATGGCAGCTTGCTATGTACGCTATAAAAATGTGATAGGTCTCACCAATCCATTCTGGGCTTTCTATTTTAGCCAGTTATAAGAGACACTGGATTTGGGTTGCTGTTGTTTTTTTTCCACCCGTTTTTGCAACACATTAGATTTTTTTGTTTTAAGTTCTTTCTATGTGTCTGAAGTCAGGACTGCAGGCAGGCCAGTTTAGCAGCAGGACTCTTCTACTACAGAGCCATGCTGTCATTTGTGCTAATTGGTTTTGGCAGTGTCTGAAATATCTGAGGTCATTTTTTTAAAATGAATGGAATATATTTTTAGCTACAACAATAAATCATAGTTAGGAATCAGCGTTGCACTATTTTCCATTTAAGACATGGTAGACGATTGGATAGATTTTTTAATTATTATGAACCTTGTTTCTATGGCAATCATGGTCCTATAGTGCGATCTCCACAAATTGAAGAGAAATTTTATTTGAAAAAATCTGTTCACCCTAGCAGGTGCAGGGCTGCAAAAACGTTGACCAATGGGAGCCATTCGTCCCGGACAGCTCCTATTGGTCAATCTCCTGCTCCGCCTCTCCATCCAATCAGCTTGCTGTATTCGACACACCCCTCTCTCGTAGTTCCGACTCGTCCCCTCTCACTCTCCCAGCCCTCCTCAGAGCTCTGAGCGGCTAAAAGTAGCGTAGCAGCTTAGCTACAGGAGCTGTGATGGAGAAGGACACAAATAAACAGTTCTGCTCGCCCCACTGCCAAAAGTGGGAAGAAAATGCAAACTGACAGAAGAAAGGGCGGAGTTGAAGAGGAAATGTGACCAAGTGAGGAATCTAACTGGAATAAACATTGGGTCATCCTTCGAGCGTTGGAGAAAGGGGGGGTATCGTGGAGCACAGAGGGGAGAGGTTTGTGTGTGGGGGGGTGCGACACTTTTTTCTAATTTGCCTCAACAGCTCAGTTTTTTCAACTGCTTCTTAGATCGTCAACCAGGACTTTAAATGTAGGGTTACATACCCTCAATCTAGGTTTTTAACTATTTCACACCGTGTGCTAACTTTTTTTTCCAGCATTGGGGTTGTACCTGCACCAGCACTAATTTTCTTTAGCAAGCCAGTGTGGAAACAGAACACCCAAAAACAGACTTACAGTAATGATGTAAATAATGAAGTAAATTCTGTCGATTCTTCTCGTCATCCTGGTCCAGTAGCCTAGCTCTACTTCCTCCTTCTTGCTGCCGAGGAGCTGAGTCAGCGCTTTTAACACCTCGCTCAGCTCGCTGTAAATCTTCTCAGAGTCATGAGACTCCTCAGTCAGCTGACTCCTGCTACCCTGAAAAAGAAAAAAGTAGTTTCAAACTGTTAATCAAAGTTATGATTTTTGAGTGGGTTACTTCTTTGAAAGATGAACTAACTTAAAGATTAAGTTTTGGCTGATTATGAGTCAACAAGTCATGACCAGCAAAACACCTAAAGCATGGTGCTGCTCAGATTGTTGTTCTGATTCTGTTAGAGAAATGATCTGTTTGTAGGTTAAATTAGGAGATAGGCCTTTGCTCTCTGTTTGTTAAACTGTCCATGGTGTGGACGAGGTTTAAACTTTGAAATTTTGGAGAAGTGAACTTTATCCTGACCTCTTTTTCCAAGGGCAGCAGCTCAGAGGGCACCAGCTCAGAGGGCATCTCAGCGGGGGAAACATTAAAAATACGCACACAGGAAACTGATTTATTGATACCTGTGAAGATGCATTGGACAGGTTAGTGCATGTTTAATGTTGTGCTGATTTAAAAAACAATGAAGACATGCCAAATATCTGGTGGAACATCTACGCTGCTCCACAAACAGTTATCTTTTTCCAAATATGCTGAAAATTATGCTGCTTATCGAACTGAATCAAACCTTGGAAGCAGCTGAGGGTTTCTCCTCGTTTGTCCCCACAGTGGTCACACAGGTTTTGGTCTTTGTCTGAGGAAACATTGTCTTTATCCATCAGGTACATCACCAGAATGGTCTCCAAGAGGCTGAGCATCATCATCCCAAAAACCCCGACACAGTAGACAGCTGAGGAGAGGAGGCGGCAGCGTTATTGTGCGTATAATCTGTTCAAGACCCTTCAGGAAAGGTGAGACAGAGCTGCTTCACCTATAAGTGGAATGCCGTCAGAGGAAGAAGGTAGAATATCATTGAGAATCAGCTGCATCACGGTGATAGCCAGCAGCACGGTGACCTTGAAGCTGAGCTTCTCGCCTCTGCTCTCTGAGATCAGGAAGGAGGCCAAGTCCAGACCCAAGAAGAAGAGGATGGGCAGGATGAAGTTGACCACATAGAGGACTGACTGCCTCTCCATGGTGATCTGTGAAACCACGTTCAGAGCAGAAAAGTTGGCGCTAAAACTCCATTTGAAAACGTGTTAGGAAATATAACCAACAACATCAAACATTCATTGAGTATTTATGCAACTGTTTTGTATGAAATATGTGTTCAAGTTTCTAAAACAGACGAAACTTTAATTCTGTGGACATAAAGAAAAAGAAACAGGTCTTCACTCTCCGCCAATATTAAAACACAGACTCGAGACAAAAAATACTGCCCCCTAGAGGTCAGGTGGTACTTACTGTGCAAATGTGCTGGTGCTCTTTCTTGTGACACGACATATTCTTTAAACTCCAATCAGTTTCAGCTTTGGTTTCAGCATGCACCTTTTCATCATGGAACGTCTTTTTACTACCTTCAAGATCAATCTTTAACTCATGATCTGAGATTGGAGATACAAAAAAAACACGTTTTAGCCTGTTTGATTGAGAACAAAGCTGCATTCAAATTCACTGATACTCACCATAGAGTGTGATTGACTTAAAGGTGAGGTGACACACCTGAGTGTCCAGAGGAAACCTGTAAAACTGCATCCTGCAGGTGCTAACCATCACCATACCTTTTTTGTAAACTACATCGCCGTAAGAATAAATTTTGAGGTACGGAGTCTTATTGGCCCGGTCTTTCTCCGTCCTGTAAGAAAAGCAGCACTTTATTTCAAGATGCTTGGACCAATCAGACTCAAGTATTTAACACAAAAGGACAGGTGATAAATACAAAAACAAGATAACGCCCAGTTCTCTGTACTACTGTTATATCTGAACTTCAAAGTGAAGGAGATGTGAATGTAGGAACATGCAGTCAAAGTCAAACTTACATCTCTTCGATGATGATATCGGGCTTCCATAAAAGTTCACTTGGAACAGCAACAGCGTAAATATCGCAGAAATTACTTTTATCCCATGAGATAAAGTCATTGTGCCACCACTATAAAGAATGACAAGAGAGAAAAAAAGATGTTAACAAATTTAACTTTGTCCTCCGTTGAGGAGAGAGATGGTCAGTCAAGCAGAGATGTTGTCTTTTTTTACTCACCATGTATATCCAAATGTAAGCGACAAATTTCTGCTCTTTTTCGCTCTGCAAGAAAAAAGACACATCCTCTCAAAGATCATTTTACTTATTTTCATATTTGTATATTATTAACATGAGCAACAGATCAGACCCTAATATGAGCCTATTTGGTAGATTTCAGTAAGTCTCTCCGATGACACTGATTTTCTTCACACAGAGTGAAAAATCAGCACTGTGTCCTCATAATTGTACATTTCTATTCATCCATTATTGTCTGAGAGGATGAAATGAGTTTTTCTAAAGTTTATGAGTTACTTCTATGAAATTATTAACAAATGTGTGCTGACCTATAACAGAAAGGCTGTTTGAAGAAAATGACAAAGTGTAGAAAATAAAAAAATGAAGGTGCAAAAATATTATTTGGGCTTTTATTCCAAGTCCAGGAAAATGGACTTGAAATAAGATAAAAGAAAAGATAAAGAAAGATAAAACAAAGAGAAGTAGCAAGTAGGGCTGCACGATTTTGTACAAAAATAAAATCCTGCACCTCCAAAAAGCAGGCCGACCAGCACCCACATCCACTGTGGTGGGACGCCCGTGGGGCACCCCACAGGGCCCCGCCCCACCCCGCGGCCACCTGCCAACCGAACTGACCACCAACTCCACCTCTAAATACCCCGGGCCTCACATGACTCTCCTCTTGTGTTATGTTCATGTGGTGCATTTATCTTAAATGGATGGCCTAATTCTCAAATAGGGGAGACCGGGGCTTGTTGTCACACAGATAAGTTGTCACAATGCAATTATCTTTGCCACCAGAGGGCACAACTAAAAAGTGGAATACTAGTTTTCTTCCTTTACATGGTCAGGGGTTGTGTCCTGTCTGAGAAGAGAAGCGCGCATTGTGAGCTGAGATGAGCACCAATAAACCATTTCACAAAACCCAAAGTAAAAAATATTCACTTTATAAATTTTTAAATAAGCTTCTTCCAGATAAAAATCCTAGCAGTGAAACATTTGGACTTGTTAGAGGAGAGATAAAGACATCCTGTCACACCTCAGTCATTGTTCTGTTTTAAGATAACTTTAATCTAGAGCTAGAATTAGCAAACATGGTAGTTTGGGGCACAATGTCTCAGTCATTTTGGGGTTAGTTACCACATGTTTAGAAGGGATTAAAATTAAAATAGAGAGTCTGCTTATCAGCAGTTGTCATATTGAAACTTTGACTTGATTTTTACAGAGAACAGAGTGGTTTAAAGGAGAGGAGAAAGAGAGAAGACATGGTCAGGAATTACAAAAGAAAAATAGAGCAAGGCAGTGCAGTGCCTAACATGATGCTGAGGGCGGGCAGACAGGTGACCCTCGCTAATAAATCAATCTGGAGTACAATAAAGGACTTTAATGTCAACTACCATACCTTAGCTCTGTACCACAAAACATTTACCCCAGCTGAAATACAGAGTCAGACAGAGTCTAAGCAACAATAACTCAAATACCTAATAATTACAGTCAAAATGTCTTCTGATAAGTTACTCTTTACACAATAGTCATGTTTATTGTGTTGAAAATTATGAAACTATGATCTTTTTCTGTACAAATCTGATCTTGCTTCCAAACTTTTGGCCTGTAGTGTACATAACATTTTTCTTTTTTTTTCGTCTTCTCTTTTGGGTTTTCTTTATTTATTTATTAGCGACTTAATGACTAAAATCTCCTACTTTCTCTCCTACTTACCATTTTTTCTCTCCATTCCACTCTTCTTTCTCTCCACTCTGCAGTTCCACTATTCTACTCTGTGCTTGTGACTTGAGAAACGCTCCCACTGGGTAAAAAACAGCAGACTCTTAACTTTTGTTTTAGTTCTTGCTAATTATTAGTTATCTCACGGGTCGCTACGACGAGTTTGGTGGAGTTTTGCTGCTTCCTCAAAGTCTCTCGCTCTGTCTTGAAACCTGACACCACAGTCTCAGGCTGCGTCAGTGCATCTTGGCTCATTTGCATACTGAACAGTGATTGAATGTTTACGGATGGGGAGGGAGGGACAGGGGAGACGATCTCTGACTGCAGGATGTGTGAAGACACACGCTGTATGGAGATGAAGGGATGGGAGATGAGCAGGGGCTGATAATTAACTTGTGCTTTTTCCTGTGGATTTTCCACTATTAAAAATTTGATTTGAGGGGGCAGCAGACTAGCTGATATGGTGTTTTTAAAACTGATGTTCAAGATTAAAAGTGAATCAATAAACAAGGTCAGAGCTTCCAGTTTCTAATCAACTGAAAGTTTATGTTGTAAAAAGCTGACAGCTTTTCTTAACAGAGGAATGATGTTATATAATATATCTAAAAACCCTTACCACATCCAGAATAGCATATAGATGTACAAATAGATACACCTCTGTGGGCACACTGTGGTTACGGGTAGGCCGAGTCATGGAGAACTTGACTTTGTCGGTCAGATTCAGGTGGTTCAGAAGATTAATATAAGAGCAGTCAGAGGAATTTTGATCTACAGTGAAAACAACAAATACAGTTATCACAAGAGAGTTCAAGAAATGACCAAATGTTATCGTGATCAATTAGAGCGACATTCAACTTATCTTCTTGTATTTATCGTTGATACACAAATTATGAGACTAAGACACACAGAAAAAAAGACAGACAGGCATCTCAGTGGTAAAATTTCTTATTGAATAAAGTGAAACTGAAAAGAAATAAAATACAAATAAATTAGTTTGAGCCCATATTTTAGTCTATCTCAGTCTCACATGAATAAAAGCAGCTTATAAAAAAACTAACTGAACCTTCTTAGCAAGAATCAGAATCATGATTATTTTTTCAACGACATCATGATCCTGATTGATGATTACTGTCAAACTGGCATCTGTATTTCATGCATTCACAGAGCTTTGAAATAAAACACTTTATTATGATACTGACTGATGTCACTGTATAGTGAGCTTGTTAACACACTTTAATGCTGATGAGTACAACAGCTTCTCTGCCATAGTGCTCAGTCTGTCCCTTGGCTTTTCAGACACACAAATATGCACATATCTGCCTCCTCCTGCTCTCCGCCTGCACCTCCATAATGAAGCTCACTCCATAATTTAATCCATAATTTGATACAGAGGCAGCCATGAGTAGTAAAGAGTGATTTAGTTCCTGTTCATACCTTGTGTGGATTGTTGATCATAACTCTCTTCATAGGAAGAATGATTGGAAGACACGTTGGTACTTCCACCTAAAATAAGGAGCACACACACGTATATACGGTAAATGTTAATGATTCATACATGTGCATCTTCTCTCCTGCACAGAATCATTTTTATGATCAAATAGGCTTTGTGGTAGGTTTTATATTTTGAGTTTAGTTTATCTGCAGAGCACCATTATACACTAGATTTAACCAGATTGCAAATAAAAACCCTCCTAATGCCCCTCGAGGGATAAAAAAATGTCAAGGTTCCATTAAAGTGACGTACATGGTGCAGAAGGTGGTGTTGTGTTTCTGGTGACAACAAAATAATCATAGATAGTTTCGTGTCTATTCTTAAAAATTAAGATTTCACCACCAATTACAGCACAAATATTCACCAGATGATCAAAATCCCTCATGATTTAAAAAAAAATTATGTTGAAAAACTTAAATCTCCTCAAAGGCTGTAAGAATAAAAACAATCATACTGCATGTTCAGTCGACTCTTAATGCAACAAAATACTGCAGAAATATTCAGAATTCCCTTTAATTAAATTGACAATAGCAACTTCATACCTTCTCTTATTTATGTGTGTGTGTGTGTGTATACATATCTATGTGTGTGTGTTTGTGTGTACATATATATATATATATATATATATATATATATATATATATATATATATATGTATGTATATACCAGTGGCGATTGCTCTAAGACTGCAAGGGAAGCTCGGCTTCCCTTGAAATGTCACCCCCCAAAAAAAAGAAAAAGTGGTGAAGTACGTACTGCTGTGTGTACATTTCATTAACTAAATACGCACTAGAAAGCCTTCAACTTTTGTTCAGACACTGTGATAAGAAGCTGATAATCACAGGTAACCGGCATGACTTCGTTCTCATTCATCCTTGCAGCGCCTCAGCGCTTTAAACAGCCGGACGCTGGGCTTCTGCTGACTTCAATGTGGAAGCTCAAAGTGGGTTGTTCCAGCAGCGAAACTAGACGCTCATTGGATAAATGCTGGGCTTTGTCCCGCCCATGGGACGCTCAGCTTCTCTGGAGTTCTACGGCGAGAGGGCGGTCCCGACTTTCTCCCGGACTCCGAGCTTCTGCATCCATGATTGGATGAGCTGTCTGAGGCGAAATCCTTTTTTGATTGACAGCTAAACAAGCGAATCAGCGATCTTGAAGAATAAAACATCTACCAGAGCATTTTCCAAGTCATTCATTCCGTTGTTCTTAACTGCTCCAGAGACTTTACCGATCCTCAGCGACTTTTGTCTTTGTTAAAAATGACTGCCGTTGTGTTTGGCGACTCTGTTCTGTTACATACTAATAAACAAATACAATTATGATGTAGGCCAGAAAAATGAGCTTCCCCTCCTTGAAAGACCAGCAGCCGTTACTGATATATACATACAGTATATATACATATATATCTCGCTAACCGTCTAAGTGAGAATCAAAATCATGATTATTTTTCCAACAACTTCAAGATCCTGGTCGATAATTACTGTCAAACTGGCATCTGTATTTCATGCGTTCACAGAACTTTAAAATAAAACACTTTATTATGATACTGACTGATGTCACTGTATAGTGAGCTTGTTGACACACTTTAATGCTGATGAGTACAACAGCTTCTCTGCCATAGAGCTCAGTCTGTCCCTTGGCTTTTCAGACACACAAATATGCACATATCTGCCTCCTCCTGCTCTCCACCTGCACCCCCATAATGAAGCTCACTCCATAATTTAATCCATAATTTGATACAGAGGCAGCCATGAGTAGTAAAGAGTGATTTAGTTCCTGTTCATACCTTGTGTGGATTGTTGATCATAACTCTCTTCATAGGAAGAATGATTGGAAGACACGTTGGTACTTCCACCTAAAATAAGGAGCACACACACATATATATGGTAAATGTTAATGATTCATGCATGTACATCTTCCCCTTGCACAGAATCATTCTTATAATCAAATAGGCTTAGTGGTAAGTTTTATATTTTCAGTTTATCTGCAGAGCCTCATTATACACTAGATTTAACCAGATTGCAAATAAAAACCCTCCTAATGCCCCTCGAGGGATAAAAGCATGTCGAGGTTCCATTAAAGTGACGTACATGGTGCAGAAGGTGGCTTTGTTTTTCTGGTGACAACAAAATAATCATACATGGTTCCGTTAAAAATTAAGATTTCACCACGAATTGCTGCAGAAATATTCACCAGATGATCAAAATCCCTCATGATTTTAAGAAAAATTATGTTGAAAAACTTTAATCCCCTCAAAGGCCTAAGAATAAAAACAGTCATACTTCATGTTCAGTCGACTCTTCACGCAACAAAAACTTTTTACAAAATACTGCAGAAATATTCAGAATTCCCTTTAATTAAATAGACAATACGAACTTCATACCGTCTCTTATTTATGCGTGTGTGTGTTTGTATACATATCTATGTGTGTGTGTCTATATATATATATATATATATATATATATATATATATATATATATGTATGTATATGTATATATACACATATATATGTATCTATCTCTCGCTAACCATCTTAGCGAGAATCAGAATCATGATTATTTTTCCAACGATATCAAGATCCTGATTGATGATTACTGTCAAACTGGCATCTGTATTACATGCATTTGCAGAGCTTTAAAATAAAACTCTTTATTATGATACTGACTGATGTCACTGTATAGTGAGCTTGATGAGTACAACAGCTTCTCCGCTGTAGAGCTCAGTCTGTCCCTTGGCTTTTCAGACACACAAATATGCACATATCTGCCTCCTCCTGCTCTCCACCTGCACCTCCATAATGAAGCTTGCTCTATAATTTAATCCATAATTTGATACAGAGGCAGCCATGAGTAGTAAAGAGTGATTTAGTTCCTGTTCATACCTGGTGTGGATTGTTGATCGTAACTCTCTTCATAGTAAGAATGATTGGAAGACTCGTCTGTACTTCCACCTAAAATAAGGAGCACACACACGTATATACGGTAAATGTTAACTATTCATACATGTGCATCTTCTCCCCTGCACAGAATCATTCTTATAATCAAATAGGCTTTGATATAAGTTTTATATTTTGAGTTTAGTTTATCTGCAGAGCACCATTATACACTAGATTTAACCATTGCAAATAAAAACCCTCCTAATGCCCCTCGAGGGATAAAAACATGTAAAGGTTCCATTAAAGTGACGTACATGGTGCAGAAGGTGGTATTGTGTTTCTGGTGACAACAAAATAATCATAGATAGTTTCGTGTCTACTCTTAAAAATTAAGATTTCACCTCCAATTACAGCAGAAAAATTCACCAGACGATCAAAATCCCTCATGATTTTAAGAAATTAGTTTGAAAAACTTCAAAGTTCAAGTTGATCCCTTCAAAAGCTGACAGGATAAAAACAATCATACTTCATGTTCAGTCGACTCTTAATGCAACAAAAACCTTTTAAAGTTTTGACAAATTACTGCAGAACTATTTAGCGTTCCCTTTAATGCACCATGGCTCACAGGAGGAGCCTGAGAACACCACTGACATGCATGATATTTTAATAATAATAATAATAATAATAATTAATACACACAGCAGTAAAAGTCAAACTTGTATTGTACAGGACTGAGCCAGCTTACCTGTGAGGAGGAGAAGAAAGAAGAAGAAATCTGCAAACATCATGACGGTGAATATCTGCACAGACGGTCAGGATCCCGGTCTCTACACTCTCTGCACACAGAAGTTGAAGTTTATATATCATTGGAAGTTACTGGAAGAGGGCAGAGCATATTTGGTAAACCCAACTTTGTTTTCTTCATGACCCCTCCCCTTCATATCTCATTAGCTCAGTGATAGAAAACAAATCTGAAATGGCATCAACCTCAACACTTAGCCATATGTGGGCAGATCAATCGTCATGTTAAAACAAAGTGGTTCACTCTAAACTTCCTCCTCTGCGGCAGCTGAGTATTGTAAGAAACATTAGAGCTTTTTCGAGGAATAATGTGGTCACAACATTAGAAAGACTTCTAGAAGTTTCCCAGAACAGATTCTCACATTATCTCAACAAACTTCTGACTTTATCTTCACAGCTGTTGCTCAAACGGGGGAATTTGAACATTTGCCTTCCATGACGTCATGAACAGGGATAACTCCCCTCTAGGTTGGTGACCCTGCCCAAGACGTTTGTTCCGCCTCCCGAAAATTTCAACTCTGACACTATTTTTCGCCCTCGTAAAATGGCAAAGGTACGATCAAGACACGACAGTTGCTCTGTTGTTTTCAGCACAGGAGTCTGTTTCATTAGACTGCAAGTACATAGTCATGAGAGATAACTATACTTACAATATCACGCATTCACCAGAAGAGCTCCAAGTAAGGAGAAGACAGCGAAGATGTAACTGTTAGCAGGAGCTAATGTTAGCTAGCTACATGTAAGTCACTGTGTACCAACACACGAACAAAGTAAAAAGTAAAATATGGAGACACTTAATATTTGTAACTAACCGTTCAGAAACGTCCTGCTGCAGACACAGAGTTGGATTTCAGGAGTCTCTCCTTCTGGGTCAGACTGGTATGGCTGGACCACAGCGCTTCTACGAGCCATACCTAGCACTCTGTATAAACATTAGCGTTTGTTACCGTAGCACAGGCCCAAACTTCCTTTTCCAGAGCGACAGGGAGGGGCGTGGCTTGCGCTGAGGGAGATGTGGACAGGCGCAGCACAAAGAAACAGCGTGTTCTCGGTAGAGCCCACTAGAGAGAGTTTTCAGGCTGGCTGAAGTCCAGGAAAAAACTGGGTGTTTAGAAAACTAACTAACTTGTAGGAAAGCACCAACCAAGAAAAAATAGAGGTACAGCTGTTAAGGAGAAAGTGGAGCTGGATTGGTCACATACTCAGGAAAGACAAAACTGCAATAACCAAACAGGCACTAACATGGAACCCACAAGGCAAGCGGAACAGAGGAAGACCCAGAAACACTTGGAGAAGGAGTACAGAACAAGAAGTGAAAGAGAAGGGACTGACGTGGAAACAGCTAGAGAGGATGGCCCAAGACAGAAGAGGGTGGAAGCGATTCATCAGTGGCCTATGTTCCGAAAGGAATACAAAGGCCTAAGTGAGTCAGTTAGAAAACTAACTAAAAAAACAGTCTGTTCTGGGACCTCTGAGACCTATGTGAACCTGCTGAAAAGGACTATAATATGGGACCTATAAAAACTACAAGGCCCATGAAGCACAATGAGGAGCTGAGTCTCTGAACTCACCTCTCTCTCTCTCTATTTCAGTCTCAGACTGTCTAACATCAGTCCGGTTCGGCTCGAGATTTCCTCTCAGCTCCTCCTCTCCCCTCCCTCTGTGCTCCAGCAAGCCCCGCCCACAAACAGACGCTCCTGCTCGCTCGTATCGTTCCAATTAAATTCAGATATAATGCAGATAAATACTTCAGATCATTACAAATGGGGCCCAGTCAAGGTGAAAGTCAAAAGCATTGGTGCTACTGTAGATGCCAACAGACTACCAGCAAACACAATGTTTGCAGGACTTCTACAACGAGGATAAAGTGACATAGTCCAGGACCCGAGGGAGGACAGTTTAGCGATGGCGCTACAACACGCTACAGCAGGTCCGTTTGACAAGAAACACTTCTGTTACAGACACTTGTCTTACTTTGTTAAAGCGGTTTACCTGTCCAGCAGAAAGGTTACAGGGTCACCAAGATCCCCAAGCGTCCCCCATCGTTTATGTTGACCCGGCTTTTTAGCTCTTGTCCGGTCTACCTCCGTTTTAAGCGCCCGTTACTCCGCCAGAGTCTCCGGTATTTACTTTGTTTTCTTGCTTGTGTCGGCAGTCGTGGCCAAAGGAGGATTCAGACAATTTTCCGAACTTTCTGGTTGGTTTCTACTGTCCGATATTGTAGCACGCTAACTTTGTTTTGGCTCGTGAACATTATTCAAGTATGTGGAGCCCGCCTCACAACATGAGGGAACAGTGTCCGCCTCACAACCAATCAGGTTGGGGGAGGTGGAGAATAGCTTTGTTTACAGTCAGAAAGAGCGGGCCGCTCATAAAAATTAAAATGTTGACTACACAGACATAAGAGAACACAGCGATATTGTTATATTACCAAATGTCATCAATGACGAAAAACTGTTGACTGACATTAATAGATTTTTGGAAATATACACCACAAATAAAGATGCTTCTTTAATGGAATCCTGCCTACCCCACCTTTAATGTGACTTCACCTTTAAAACAATCTAATGTCCCTTTAAGACTCAAACCAGAATGAAATCACTCCTTAATACCTGACATTTGTTTTCACCTGCGAGCTTTGAGACTGAGATGCACGACGAGTGTCATCAGCATCAAATTGATAGTTGCCATGGTGATGTGAGATGTTACTAAGTGGAAGCATGTTGAAAAAGAAAAGGTCCAAGAACTAAACCCTGCAAATGTGTGTGTGTGTGTGTGTGTGTGTGTGTGTGTGTGTGTGTTTGTGGGGGATGCGTTTGTTTTCTGTACATTTAAGGACCAAGTACTGGAGAATATTTTCTATGGGGACATTTCTCATCGTAAAGATCTTTTGTGTTTCTTGATAAAGAAATGTTGTCATGGTCTCTCAAAAGGACAGAACTGCTGTTGTTTCAAGAAGAGGTCACTATATGTGTGAATTTATTTTTCCTTGGCTCTTCGGCTCCCCCCATATGACACATCTGGTACTACATCAGGCATTCATGCAAGGGCTTAACTGTCTGCCTGTTGTCTTTTTCTTCATATTTTTGGTTTGTTTTAGTGTTTTTATTGACAGTACATGGCAACAAGATAGAGTGGGATACAGGTTTGAGATGTTGTCACTGGGGCCTTTTTAAAAATTAATTTTTCGGCTTCTGATCCGTGTTTCTTTGGTTTGCATCTGTATTTCTTTGTCTTGTCTTTTTTAACATGAAAAACACAAACATGAGCACAATAGACAACTTTTATTTATTTATTATTATGATTTAGAAACCACACAAACATGACATGATATCAAGATTAAAAGGAGATGAACCAAAATTGCTTTTTAAAACCATCACATGATGTCTAATTTTTGTCTAAAACAGATCCGTTTAATCGGCAGGTACCAGAATTACTTATATTACATACAGTATTAAGAGCTTTATCATGCTGTTTATGAATAGGGACTCCACAACAGGACTTTTAAACAGATTTCAGGTTTTAACCTACAAATACATGCTCAACAACATTACGGTCGGTACTGTAAAAGACAATACGACATACAACATACATAAATCAATAACAAAGTTAGAAATACATATGTCTGTAAAGAGATACATGCACAGTTGATATATACTTATTAAAGCATGCATATTAGTTAAAACAAAGTTCCTGTCTCAGTCTGCTCTTTGTTTTTACACAGCAGCTGTTCATCTGAATATCTGACTACATGCACACAAAGTACTTCCCCATCACCTCCGGTTTTGGTCACCGTTGACTTAACAAACCAAACTGAATGAAGCCGATTGCTACCCTAGCTCTTATTAAAAAGAGGCGTGGCGCATGTGTAATAATTTGTCGCCTGTTCACAATGTCATGGAGATGAAATTGGAGATGTGTTGTGCAGCCTTTGTGTTTGCAGAGCCTGAATTCTGCTTTCAGTCTATCATTAAGTTGTTCACAATGCAGGAGGATACAGTAATTTTGCACAGAAGGCAGGTGTAAACATGAATACAGATACACTCAGGGTGAATAAGCATGCCTTTATACAGCTGGATTATCTAACACAATAATCATCATGTGATTTTGGTTGAAACACATTCATTCAGAGAGGAGTCAGTGTCAGGCTACGATTGACCATCTTCAGGCGACAGTTTTGTCTGTTTGATACTCTCCTCACTCTCAGCCTTTCAGCCAAGTATGGCAGCTTGCTATGTACGCTGTAAAAATGTGATAGGTCTCACCAATCCATTCTGGGCTTTCTATTTTAGCCAGTTATAAGAGACCATGGATTTGGGTTGCTGTTGTTTTTTTCCACCTGTTTTTGAGACACAATAGATTTTCTGTTTGAAGTTCTTTTTATGGGTCTGAAGTCAGGACTGCAGGCAGGCCAGTTTAGCAGCAGGACTCTTCTACTACAGAGCCATGCTGTTGTAATTTGTGCTAATTGGTTTGGCAATGTTAGAAATATCTGAGGTAATTTATCTTTAAATGAATGGAATATAATTTTTAGCATCAACACTAAATAATGGTTACAAATCAGCTTTTCACTATTTTCCATTAAAGGCATGGTTGACAATTGGAGAGATTGTTAATTATTATGAACCTCGCTTCTATGGCGATCATGGTCCTACAGTGCGATCTCCGCAAAGTGAATAAAAAAAATTGGGAAAAATCTGTTCACCCTATCAGGTGCAGGGCTGCAAAAACTATGACCAATGGGAGCCGTCCGTCCTGGACAGCTCCTTTTGGTCAATCTCCTGCTCTGCCTCTCCATCCAATCACCTTGCTGTATTCAACACACCCCTCTCTCGTAGTTCTGACTCATCCCCTCCCACTCTCCCAGCCCTCCTCAGAGCTCTGAGCGGCTAAAAGTAGCGTAGCAGCTTAGCTACAGGAGCTGTGATGGAGAAGGACACAAATAAACACTTCTGCTCGCCCCACTGCCAAAAGTGGGAAGAAAACGCAAACTGACAGAAGAAAGGGCGGAGTTGAAGAGGAAATGTGACCAAGCGAGGAATCTAACTGGAATAAACATTGGGTCATCCTTCGAGCGTTGGAGAAAGGGGGGGGTATCGTGGAGCACAGAGGGGAGAGGTTTGTGTGTGGGGGGGTGGGACACTTTTTCAAATCTGCCTCAATGGCTCAGTTTTTTCAACTGCTTCTCAGATCGTCAACCAGGACTTTAAATGTGGGGTTACATACCCTCAATCTAGTTTTTTTTCAGTATTGGGGTTGTACCAGCACTAATTTTCTTTAGCAAGCCAGTGTGGAAACAGAACACCCAAAAACAGACTTGCAGTGATGATGTAAATAATGAAGTAAATTCTGTCGATTCTTCTTGTCATCCTGGTCCAGTAGCCGAGCTCTACTTCCTCCTTCTTGCTGCCGAGGAGCTGAGTCAGCGCTTTTAAAACCTCGCTCAGCTCGCTGTAAATCTTCTCAGAGTCAGGAGACTCCTCGGTCAGCTGACTCCTGCTACCCTGAAAAAGAAAAAAGTAGTTTCAAACTGTTAATCAAAGTTATGATTTTTGAGTGGGTTACTTCTTCTCTTTGAAAAATTAATTTAGGAAAGTTTTGGCTGATTATGAGTCAACAAGTCATGACCAGCAAAACACCTAAAACATGGTGCTGCTCAGATTGTTGTTCTGATTCTGTTGGAGAAATGATCTGTTTGTAGGTTAAATTAGAAAATAGGCCTTATAACTTTGCTCTCTGTTTATTATACTGTCCATGGTGTGAATGAGGTTTAAACTTTGAAATTTTGTAGAAGTGAACTTCATCCTGACCTCTTTTTCCAAGGGCAGCAGCTCAGAGGGCACCAGCTCAGAGGGCATCTCAGTGGGGGAAACATTAAAAAGACGCACACAGGAAATAGATTTATTGATACCTGTGAAGATGCATTGGACAGGTTAGTGCATGTTCAATGTTGTGCTGATTTAAAAAACAATGAAGACATGCCAAATATCTGGTGGAACATCTACGCTGCTCCACAATTTCAACAGTTATCTATTTCCAAATATGCTGAAAATTGAACTGAATCAAACCTTGGAAGCAGCTGAGGGTTTCTCCTCTTTTGTCCCCAAAGTTGTCACTCTGGTTTTGGTCTTTGTCTGGGGAAACATTGTCTTTATCCTGCAGGTACATCACCAGAATGGTCTCCAAGAGGCTGAGCATCATCATCCCAAAAACCCCGACACAGTAGACAGCTGAGGAGAGGAGGCGGCAGCGTTATAGTGCGTATAATCTGTTCAAGACCCGTCAGGAAAGGTGAGACTGAGCTGCTTCACCTATAAGTGGAATGCTGTCAGAGGAAGAAGGTAGAATATCATTGAGAATCAGCTGCATCACGGTGATAGCCAGCAGCACGGTGACCTTGAAGCCGAGCTTCTCGCCTCTGTTCTCTGAGATAAGGAAGGAGGCCAAATCCAGACCCAAGAAGAAGAGGATGGGCAGGATGAAGTTGACCACATAGAGGACTGAGCGCCGCTTCATGGTGATCTGTGAAACCACGTTCAGAGCAGAAATGTTGGCGGTAAAACTACATTTGAAAACATTTTAGGAAATATAACCAACAACATCAAACATTCATTGAGTATTTATGCAACTGTTTTGTATGAAATGTGTGTTCAAGTTTCTAAAACAGATGAAACTTTAATTCTGTGCATAAAAACACATGACAGGTCTTCACTTTCCACTGCAGTCATGCCATCAATTTTAACTCATTCAGTGCCAGGTTTATTAAAGCAATTTTCACCCAGTGCCACCATTGACCACAATAGAAATTTCCGTATCTGTCAGGACCCACAGAATATCTTGTGCTTAGACTTGAATTGAGTGCAATATCTCAAAAGAAAGGGATGATTCTCTTCTTTCACCAGGAAATAAAGTTAGTCTCTAACCCACTACTGTGTTTAGTTATTGCCTGTTCAATGCAGCGTGGTCATTTCATCTTTGCAGAGCTGGAAAATAAACCTGAGAAAAACACATTTTTAGGAAGGAGAGACTTTAAAGCAGAACTCTGATCGTCTATTTCAGTTCACTTCAAACTACTTTACCAGTGGCATCAAGGTCCTCCCTCCTCAGACACCTCTCCTCATCACTCTTGAGATCGGATTGTGATAGGTCACTTTGTGACAGCTGGTAGTCGCATTGGCTCTCAAGAACCTGACACTGCGACGTAAACCACACAAACTGCTCGCGTCCTCTTTGCCAGGACTGTCGCTGAATTCCAGCTCAGTCTCACTCACCAGTACCGGTGGCACAACGACACACTAGAAATTTGATTCTTTGATTGTCTGCTGATGATGTGAAGGTCCGCGACCGGGATCTCCAATGGATCCAGAGACTAAAGTACCACACCCACTGGAGTCTTGACTGTAAGCTCTTGACTAATGACTTAGCATTTTCCTACTCTCCTTATAGGGAAAAAACACTCCACAACTCGGCTAATGGACACACTTGATGGCACACTTCTCACTGGCGAGTACTTGTTTTTGTTATTGTAACATGGTTATGATGTATTTATCGGCTTTTCTGCGTTCAGAATGACCACAAACTTGGTTGCATGTCTAGGAGAAGCGCCCTCTGGCGGAAAAAAAAAAGCTGAAAAAATTCATCAAAATCTTCCAATGGCACTGAATGAGTTAAAAACACTGACTCAAGATAACAATACTGCCCCCCAGAGGTCAGGTGGTACTTACTGTGCAAATGAGCACGCTCAAGTCAAAGTGAAAAGGCCTGATATTTTTGCTTTCAAATGTTATGCTCGTCACACCCCACTCGGTTTCAGCATGCATCCCATCATGCGTTGTGTCATTGTCACGATTAAGGTGAAAAATCTTTAAATCCTGAGCTGAGATTGGAGATATGAAAAAAAACCCACTTTAGCCTGTTTGATTGAGAACAAAGCTGCATTCAAATTCACTGATACTCACCAAAATGTGTGATTGACTTAAAGGTGAGGTGACACACCTGAGTGTCCAGAGGAAACCTGTAAAACTGCATCCTGCAGGTGCTAACCAGTACCATACCATTTCTGTAAACTACAGTGCCGTCATTAGCAATGTTGAGGTAAGGACTCTGATTGGCCCGGTCTCTCTCCATCCTGTAAGAAAAGCAGCACTTTATTTCATTTACCTTTACAAGATGCTTTGACCAATCAGACTCAAGTATTTAACACAAAAGGACAGGTGATAAATACAAAAACAAGATAACGCCCAGCTCTCTGTACTACTGTTATATCTAAATTTCAAAGTGAAGGAGATGCGAATGTAGGAACATGCAGTCAAAGTCAAACTTACATCTCTTCGATGATGATATCGGGCTTCCATAAAAGTTCACTTGGGACAGAAACATATCCAATACCGCAGAAATTACTTTTATCCCATGAGATAAAATCAGTACGCCACCACTATAAAGAATGACAAGAGAGAAAAACAGATATTAACAAATTAATGTTGTCCTCCGTTGAGGAGAGATGGTCAGTCAAGCAGAGATGTTGCCTTTTTTTTACTCACCATGTTTATCCAAATGTAAGTGACAAATTTCTGCTCCTTTTCTCTCTGCAAGAAAACAGACATCCTTTCAGAGATCACTTTACTTATTTTCATATTTGTATATTATTAACATGAGCAACAGATCAGACCCTAATATGAGCAGATCTGGTAGATTTCACTGAAGACAGTGATTTTCTTCACACAGAGTGAAAAATCAGCAGTGTCAAAAACAGTGTCTTTATAATTGCACATTCCTGTTCATCCATTATTGTCTGAGAGAATGAAATTAGTTTTTCTAAAGTTTATGAGTTACTTCTATGAAATTATTAACAAACGTGCTGTTTGAAGAAAATGACAAAGTTTAGAAAAAAAGATGAAGGTGCAAAAATAATATTTTGGCTTTGATTCCAATAAATATAAAGAAATGTAAAGAAATAAAGAAATAAGACAAAGAAAGAGACAAGAAAGAGAAGTAGCTAGAGGGGCTGCACAATTTTGGCCAAAAATAAAATGCATTTTTTTCTCTGAAAACTCGATTTATGAGGGTAATGTATTAACTAAGGTTCAGGAGCAGGACCACACCTCACCACACCTTCAATCACTTGACTAGCCCATTTATACACAGCCAGCCCACTACACTCTGTTTGTCTGCAATTCTCTGAACAGCACAGAGAGACCATGTGCCAAGCAGTAATGCGAACTCGCATTAAAAGAAACTGTAAAAATCAGCGACTCACCATAGAACTCCAGCTGCACAACTCGGACGAGGATCTGTACGACCAACTCTTTCAGGTCAATCATCCTTCACCCAGTCAGCAGCAATCGTAACCACAGCCAATCGCCATGGCAGAGTTGCTTACGCTACGTGGTTAGCATCCCGCAACCATGTACACATTCACGCTCCCTGAACGTCATCCCAATGACTCCAAACAGATCCCCGGCCTCATCTCCACCAAGAAGATCCATAGACCATAGGAGCTACAGTCACAGCGACCCACTCCGCTGCCCACGATGCCGCTCTCACCGCTCAGCCACAAAAAATTCAACACTGTCGCCCGCTTCTGTCGATCCCTGAAAACAAGAGGCATTCCATTCCACCGCAACGACAACAAAGCAAGGCTATTCCTGCTCTACAATTCCCCCACAAACACCACAGCTACAGCAACCAAAAATCCGGCGCTTCCTGCTTCCTTGCCAGAGCCAATCACTGCCAGTATACTCAGGAGTGACGTCACGGAGCAGCTCCCTCGACCACAGCCCGCCTCATCAGCCCCAACTGGCTGGGATCAGGTCATATCTTCAGCCTCAAACAACAAAACAACTTCTGTTCCCCCTCTTCCCACCATGGCCAGTTCCTCAGCTCTCCAAGGAGCCTCTCCAGCAATTCATAACACTGGCTATTCTCAACCCCCTCTGTTTCCTACTGATCTATCCTGTCAACCTTCCCTCCCCATTCCCACCCCCTCCCTTCCCTAACACCCATATGTATTTCCACCTCCTGTACATAATTACACACTAGCCACAGCCGCTCCACCTATTCAACCAGCCTCATCCATTAACCATCTTTCACCCGTCTCACCGGCACTACACCAACAAATTCTCTCTGGTAATTTTGTAGATCTAGCTCAGCTACTCCACCCATCCACAACTGACACAAGACAGCCTAGGGAGATGCAAACCATTTTCGGTCCAGTCCAGCACTGCGACCCATGTCCATCCAGGTCAAAAGACCCAACACCAGCAGAATTTGCCTTAGCATTTTCACTCTTCTGTGACACCATCGGTTCAGTTTTTCCATCTCTCACGTCTGAGCTCGACGATTATCTCTCCATAATCCTGGACATGGCCCTGTGTTTTGGCAGCACAGGTTTTTGCAGCTACCACTTGCACTTCACAAACCAGGTAGCCAACCGCATCAAGCAGTTCAATCAGAACACGTACTGGGGCACACTTGACTCTGAATTGTATTGTCGAATCTTTGCCGCCCGCACCTCCCTCTCTCGTGAGTTATGTGGAGCCCCCTACCATCCTGCCACAGCATGCATTGTCAGCGCTCCACCACCTCGTCCACGCTCATCTTCCTCTCACAACACCACAGTCTTTAACTGCTTGTCACCCGCAGCACCTCCACCTTCAATCGTACCTAAGCCCTTAGACATTCAACCTGCCATCAGTGTCCACATGCCAAAAGGGGTCGACATGAAAGGAAGGCCCATCCTCTACCAAGCCAAAAAGATGGTTTGCAAGAAGTTGGCTTTACTCACAGATTTCATGCTGGCATAGACATTCTCCCCAGTACGTCACATACCTGGCACAACCTTCAGTCTGCCACCTGAAAATACCCTGGCAAATAGAGAATGATCATAAACCTCTCCTCCCCACATGGTTCACAAATCCCCCGCATTAACAGTGTCATCCCATGCTCTGATTTCTCAATGCAATACGCATCAATCGATCATGCCATCACTCTCATCTGTCTCGCAGGCCAGGGAGCTTGGCTCTCCAAAGCAGACATCACAAGCACATTTAAAGTGCTACCCATACACCCCAACTTCTAGTGTTACTTTGTCTGCTGGAAAGGAGCCTATTACTTTGCAGTGCGCCTTACTTTCGGTTGCAGGAGCAGCCCTAAGATCTTTGATTTCCTCTCAGAAGCACTGTGCTGGATTCTCACAAACAATCACAGATGCCCATTCGTTCTACATCTCCTACACGACTTCCTTGTCATCACTCCACCATCATCCCCTCCCAAGTTTGGACTCACCACCCTCACAGACTGCTTTTCAGAGTTGGGTGTACCTCTTTCAAAAGAAAAAACTTCAGGGCCTAGCACTCCAATGGAGTTTTTAGGCATTACTCTAGATTTAGTTTCCCTCCAAGCATCTCTACCTCAGGAAAAGATACAGCACATCACACTTCTCCTCGCTAACTATCTCCTAGCAGATAGATGCACCAAACGCCAGTTACTGGCCCTCCTTGGTCACCTCAACTATGCCATCCGAATCATCTCACAGGCTAAATCTTTCCTATCCAATCTCCCAACAAAAGCTGCAGCCGTCCCCTCCTTACATGACAGAGTGGTCTTGGACGAGGGACGCAAAATTGAGATGTACATGTGGCAACATTTTTTGTCCTCTTGGAATGGCATTTCTTTCTTCTATGACGATTTCATAACCCAATCAGAAGACATTCAACTGTTCACAGATGCAGCTCCCTCTAAAAAACTTGAGCATTTCCTCCAGAATTCGTTTCCATGTGGACGGGTTGATACCTCCTTCAAACAGATTTTGCAGCAGGGAGTGGTTTGCTCTTCATCCAAAACTGTACCAATTCCACACGACTGACTTGCTCTTGTCCTATTTAGCCACGAAATGATTGCCTTTTTTTGATAAGGCCATGATTGTTTACACCTGTGTGTGTGGGAACTGGGGAGCGCTCCCTCAGGATGGGGGAGCCTATGGTGGTCTGGAGGCGCAAGACATTTGAGGATCAATTTGAGGATTTAAATTTTTTAACATCATCACAGTCAAATACTCTGATTATGATTTAAAATCGATTAATCCTGCAGCCCCAGTAGCTAGCTGCTAGCAGACTAGCTGATTTGGTGTTTTTAAAACTGATGTTCAAGATTAAAAGTGAATCAATAAACAAGGTCAGAGCTTCCAGTTTCTAATCAACTGAAAGTTTATGTTGTAAAAAGCTGACAGCTTTTCTTAACAGAGGAATGATGTTATACAATATATTTGAAAACCCTTACCACATCCAGAATAGCATATAGCCATACATCTAGATGCACCTCTGTGGGCAGAGTGTAGTAAAGAGTAGGCCGAGTCATGGAGAACTTGACTTTGTCGGTCAGATTCAGGTAGTTCAGAAGATTAATATAAGAGCAGTCAGAGGAAAGCTGATCTACAGTGAAAACAACAAATACAGTTATCACAAGAGAGTTCAAGAAATGATCAAATGTTAGAGTGATCAATTAGAGTGACATTCGACTTATCTTCTCGTATTTACTGTTGATACACAAAAAATGGGACTCAGACACAATTAAGAAAAAAAAAAAAACAGACAGGCACCTCAGTGGTAAAATTTCTTATTGAATAAAGTTAAACTGAAAAGAAATAAAATGCAAATAAATTAGTTTGAGCCCATATTCTAGTCTATCTCAGACTCACATGAAGAAAAGCAAACTGAACCGTCTTAGCAAGAATCAGAATCATGATTATTTTTTCAACGACATCAAGATCCTGATTGATGATTACTGTCCAACTGGCATCTGTATTACATGCATTCACAGAATTTTAAAATAAAACACTTTATTATGATACTGACTGATGTCACTGTATAGTGAGCTTGTTGACACACTTTAATGCTGATGAGTACAACAGCTTCTCAGCCGTAGAGCTCAGTCTGTCCCTTGGCTTTTCAGACACACAAATACGCACATATCTGCCTCCTCCTGCTCTCCGCCTGCACCCCCATAATGAAGCTTGCTCCATAATTTAATCCATGATTTGATACAGAGGCAGCCATGAGTAGTAAAGAGTGATTTAGTTCCTGTTCATACCTTGTGTGAATTGTTGATCGTAACTCTCGTCATAGGAAGAATAATCTGGAGACTGGTCTGCACTTCCACCTAAATTAAGGAGCACACACATTTATATGGTAAATGTTAGTGACTGATTCATTTGCATCTTCTCTCCTGCACAGAATCATTCTTATAATCAAATAGGCTTTGTGGTAGGATTTATATTTTGAGTTTAGTTTATCTGCAGAGCACCATTTATACCACAGGTTCATTCATAATTTTGATACCTTCAGTGATAATCTGCAATGTAAATATTAATATAAAAAATAAAGAAAAGACATTGAATGAGAAGGTGTGTCCTAACTTTTGGCCTGTAATGTGTGTATATATATATACATATATTGATGTTGTAAGTAATATCTGATACTTGCACTATTGTACTTCTGGTTAGACACTAAACTGCATTTCGTTGCATTGTTCTGAACAAGTGTAATGACAATACAGTTGAATCTAATCTTATCTAATCTCATGTACCATGGCTCACAGGAGGTTCCCTTTCTACTGTTGATTGTCAAAAAGCCTGAAACACCACTGACATGCATGATATTTAAGTAATAAAAATAATAATAATAGTAATAATTCTGATAAATACATACAGCAGTAAAAGTCAAACTTGTATTGTACAGGACTGAGCCAGCTTACCTGTGAGGAGGAGAAGAAAGAAGAAGAAACCTGCCAACATCATGATGGTGAATATCTGCACAGATGGTCAGGATCCCGGTCTCTACACTCTCTGCACACAGAAGTTGAAGTTTATATATCATTGGAAGTTCCTGGAAGAGGGCAGAGCATATTTGGTCAACCCAACTTTGTTTTCTTCATGACCCCTCCCCTTCATTTCTAATTAGCTCAGTGATAGAAAACAAATCTGAAATGGCATCAACCTCAACACTTAGCCGTATGTGGGCAGATCAATCATCATATTAAAACAAAGTGGTTCACTCTAAACTTCCTCCTCTGTGTCAGCTGAGTATTGTAAGAAAAAGCACTTTCACATTAGAGCTTTTTCGAGGAATAATGTGGTCACAACATTGAAAGACTTCTAGAAGTTTCCCAGAATAGTCTCTCACTTTATCTAAACAAACTTCTGACTTTATCTTCACAAACTATAATCTGAATCAAAGTCACATCTGGAGGACCAAGACCAGAGGCCTCATTTATAAAGCTTCCTCACACACAAAACAGGGCTTGAATGTTGTGTTAGCCACTTCCTACGCAAGAATTGGGATTTATTTAAAAATAATAATAAAAATGTAGCATCGGAATGTGCACCAACTTCGCACCTTGCGCACGCACCTTTTGGAGACACTTGTGACAAGGTGTGGAATGAATGGTTAATGGCTGAGAGCATTGAAATAGCCATGTAGTGACAGTCGTGCACAATGCGGCACAACGGATGCACTGGCGCTACTGGAAGACCTTTCAAAGGGATGGAGCAGAATGGAGAGGGTGTTCCATGATTGGGAAGATTTCTTGGCTCATGATGATGACTGGAATCTCTGAACTCACTCTCTCTCTCTTTCTCTCTCTCACTCTTTCTCTCTCTCTCGCCCTCTCTCTCTCTCCATTTCAGTCTCAGCAGATGACTGTCTAACATCAGTCTGGTTCTGCTCGAGGTTTCTGCCTGTTAGCGTTGTGACGTTCATGAACGTTTCATTCAAAAGAACTGAACTGCTGAGTGAACGACGTGTAGGAATCACTCCGAGACCTGATTTGTTCATTTCTCAGTTCAGTTGAGCTCAGCCGCGAGCATGACGTGCCGGTTGGGAGTGGAACTGCCACCTTTGACTCTTTGGCGAAGGACACACAGCTGGCCAACAAGCGAGTGGGCGGAGTCTCGTGATTTGCCTTATGTATCAGTCAGACTGTGAACGACATATCTCAGACTGTGAATGAAACGAACGACTTCCAAATGACTTGAGGCAGGCAGAGGAGGGAGGGGTGTAGAGTCGTTCACTTACTGCCGAGCAGCGGTTCGTTGACTGAGGCTAAGATAAAACAGGTCATTATAGTGTCTTTACATTAATACAAGTGTATAAACTTTCCCGCAAGAAGGATTTAATTTCAGCTGCAACAGCTATTTGATAACTTCAGGGCAGGGGAGTGATTCTTCCTTCAGGACTTGGCGGATGAACGACATGTGTCACCCAGTGAACGACGCTGTGACTTCAGCAGCGGGGGAGGGGCTTATGAACGAACTCGCTGCTGTGTCACTCACTGGTGTACTGCACCGGCAGGATGGGGCTCTGAAGCACTGACTGATTCAGTGAACGAATCTTTTGAACAGATCGTTTTAATGAACGGATTCTAAAGAGTCAGTAGAGTCAAAAGAACTGATCTTCCCATCACTACTGCCTGTTAAAGGACGTTTCTCCTCTCTACTGTAACCTGATAAATTCACTTTCACTCATGTTTGAAGATTGGATGATCCGGTCTTGACCAGCTTCTTTTGTTTATCCAACCCTTTGCAGTCCACTGACCCTCCTTTGGGGTTGAAATTGAGTAGGTGGTATCTCAGGGTGGATTATTGCTTCATTTCCATGCAGATATACAGTACTGTGAGTCCTTTAACTGATTTTTGCATTCACAGTAAAAACACGGCAAGTTTCCTGCAGAGGTCTTGATGTCCTCACTGTGTGTGAACTTTTAAAGGGTCCACTGGATCACTTTGGACTCTGCTGCCTGTAGATTACACAGGCTCAGTTAAATTCACACTCCTTCATGCTGAGTCACTTTACCCATCATCCTTCCTTCCTTCCCTACCTCTGCAGGTGTCCCGTGTCCTCTCCTGTCCACCTAAACGTCACAGCAGCGTTACAGGGGAGCGTCCAGATGGGCCTCAGACCCTGAAGATCTGCACCCAGGGGTCACATTGGCTCTGAGGCAGCAAAAAGTTTCTCCAAGTTTAACCGCAGTGACATTTCCACTCAACAGCTACTTTAAAAGAGAGTTACTTCGGCTTTAATTGCTCCTCTAAAGGGGCAGTAAACTGAGCAACACAATGCTGACCAACGCAGAAAACTTCCAGCCAAGACATAAACTTCCGCGCAGTGTGGATATCTGAACTCCTAACAGCTCTGCAGCTTTTTCTTTTTTCTTTTAATTGGGTAATGAAACAGCAAAACTCTGATCATATTTAAATAATTCAAATTACACAAATCTGATTCATTCTCCTCTCGTCTGAATTAAGCTGCATCATTTAAAACATCTCACAGACTGCTCCAATAAAGAGATACGACGAGGTCACAGATCGAAGCCAGAACACCATATTCCCTCAAATTAAATTTATCATCAGCTCCTAAATTAGTTTTCGGGATGAGAATTCACATCGGGTTTTTTTTTCTCTGTTGAATGTTCTGAATTTTTATTAAGTGATTATTTTTTCGAATAAAACCTAAATTAGAGGAGGAAATGGATTTTCTCAGCTGAAAAAAAAAAGATTTTCAATCTCAGCTCTGATCTGTGCTGAAGCGTTCGGTCACACAGGTCAAAGTCGGTCTGTTGAGGGTTCGAGACCTCAGACCTCTGACCTCTGACCTTTGTCCTATTTGTGGGTTTTGTTTATGGTTAAACCAACAGGCCCTCTCGGATTCTGTCTTTGGAGGGAATATTATTTTGATTTTAGTTAAATTTCAATCTTTTTCACCATAATCCGTAACTCCAACCAGCTGGTCGACACTCTCCACTTTCAACTGAACTCAGGTAAATCCGACATCTTAATCTTTGACCCTAAATCAGCTCAGAACCTACGCCTCAATTCTGATAACTCCACCCTCACTCCATCATTCAACCACCATGACCATGACCACCATAACCTTTGACGCCAACCTCAAATCCCAACACTGTGTTCATCACATTATGCCGGGATGCAGATGTGGCGTAAATAGCTATTCAGATCCGCTCCACTTCGCCTTAGAATGACAAGCGGATCAAAAATGCAAGCATACAGCGCCCACCGAAGCGCTTGCGATATTCCCGATATTTCTCTCGAGACTGGACGAGATCTCTCGTGTTTCACCGCGAGACATTGAATGAGATTGGCGGTGTATATAAACCCTGACATCCCACAACCTTGGCCCCTCCCATTATCACGCCAAGAACAGTTCAAACTGACTTTATTTTATTTGAACATTAACCCGATATTTTACTCTGTAGCCGCTTAAAACTTCTGCTGCCCGTTCTGCACTGCACTGAATTGATGCGTTGTGCTGTGGCGTTCGGCAGAATAGAAGCCTTGCGTATCTGATCCAACCGCCGGAGCGCAGCACAGTGGAGCTGGACGGCGGACGGATTGTGTGGAATCACATTGATTATAATTCTTGCGTATTTGATCAGACTGGCACAACCGTTCGTATCCTGTGGAATTTAGCCGCTACCCAGACTGCATTAGTCCAACCTGTAGTGTTGCCGACTCCTCAGTAAGGGAAGTCGCTAGTGGCTGTCGTGAAAGTCACTAGAAGTCGCTAGATGATGTCATCGCCTAATTTGCATAATTTCTCGGTCAAACCCACTGTCGCCACCGACCCCCCCACGCCCGGGACGAGGAGAAGAAGGAGTCTTCCGCGGGGTGAACCGGCTAACCGTTGAGAAGAGTAACATCTATTCCTGCGTTTATGTCGGAGTCTCTTAACTCCAGGAAAAGTCTTTAGATTTGTCGCTAGGCTCTTTTTTGAAAATATGTCGCTAGATTGGCAACACTGCCACCCCATCTCCGCCCCTCACTCTTCTTCTCTGATTCATGTTTTTATCACATCCAGAATTGATTGCTGAGACAGTATCTTGATGGTTCACCCTTCAAGATTATCAATAAATTACAACACATCCAAATCTCTGCCACATCACTCCAGTCCTCCAGAACCTCCACTGGCTCCTTGTTCACCAACACCTTCAGTTTAAAGTCCTTCTCCACACTGACCTGCTCCACCCCTCAGATCCTCAGACTCCCATCTTCTCAGTCCTGCTCTGAGGACCAAGAACCAAACCTAGAAGGACCAGGTTTTCTCCATCGATGTTGGAACTTTCCCCCCGAACACATCCGGGACTTTACTGATCTACCAAAGTTCAGACCCCTCATCAAAACCCACCCGTTCAGACCTGCTTTTCAGTTTTCTTCTGCTGACATGAACTTGTTGTGTCTTTATACCAACAAGCAGCTGGAAAGAAGTTTGTCGCTAACTCGCTCTGCTGCAGGAGTGCATTGTCCTTTGGGCACAGTAATGGAAAATATGAGGATTTAAACGTCTGACTTTCAACCTACCACATTTTCAAACCCTTCCTGACCTTCAATTATGTGAATGAGACCATCAGTAACAGTAAAGACCGCTGAGTTCAGAGCAGAGCAGGTATCAGTGAGGCTTCATATGACGCTGATAAAACCAGACAGAGGAGGAGCAGCGGTGGAGCAGGAGGAGTCGTCAGCTTCCAAATCTACCATCAAATTAAAGAAGAAGTAAAACTGATGAGACTCGAGAAAAGAACGGTTGTATTTACTCCAAATCAGAGACACGAGTCGTAGCTCATCCTCTTCTTCTCCTAAGGCTCGTTTCAAAGCTATCACACACTGATGACAGTATCAGATTTCACTCCTCCTCCTCCTCCTCCTCCTCCTCCTCCTCGGGCGGCTGCTGCCCGTGTCTGAAACGACGGTGGAAAGCTCGATAATCTGACAATCTCAGCGGACATTACCGGCTGCGGCCAGAAGGCAGGTGCCTTAATTTCCAGTAACGGGCAGTTATTACTGAGCAGATCTTCTTAAAATGGAGTAGGTAATGGCCCATGGTGCTTTGGGTGCTCGTCTAAGCTGCCTATTAGAGCTTAATGTGATTTACACTGCAGAGGTAGAGCAAGAGGAGAGCAGGGCTAAATCAGGCAGAGCAGAGCGCCGCTATCTGTGCCGGCGCGTTTCAAATGTGAGCAGGAATGAATCCGTGAAGGAATTTAAATGGAAAAACCATCTCCTGCGAAAGACGGCGCGTCCACGCCGGAGACATGAACTCCGAAGAAGGAAGCGTGCGACGCTTCAGTCCGAGTGCTCGAGTCTGAAATATGAGAGCGCGTTAATCCTTCCAGTTAATTTCATGACCTGCAGCAGCGATTCTTCACGGCGAGAAAAAGCAGATAGTGGTGGTTTATGGGTAATCTGGTAACCGGCGTCCTTGGTGGCGGAGGCAGCATGATGCCACACATGAAGGAGAGAGGAAGTGGTGCTTATTCTCCTCCAAGACCGTCAATCAGGAGACTTCAGTGACGGACCTCGTCTATGTAGATAACTCTTTACCTCAGGACCCAAATGTATATTGAATCTAGTTTGATATTTCTACGTTTGGACCGTAGTCTTCCTCAGAAAAGTCACATGACGATGATGATGTTGTAAACGCAGCGTGGAGGCCCCCTCACTTGGCTCGCTGCCTGATCTGGACTGAGTGGATGACTTTGGCGGTCCTCCAGTCTATGATGGGGTTTTTCTCCTGCAGCGGTCTGAGTCTACTGATTTTGAGTTTTATTGGATATGAGCACCAAGTGATTAAAGAGGGACAGGTTATTTTTCAGGCCTTAATGACACAATATGTAGATTAATGTAAATTTGGTCAACACCGTACTTGTAGAAAACTAAATATTTATAAAGGCAAAAACGAACAGGATCTGTATTAAGCGTGTATCGGCAGCGTTGCTCATCGAGCAGCAAATAGGTTCCCATTCTAATTAATGCAGCGTCACATACAGGACGCGTCGCAGCTCCGTCTTAGAAGTGTGTCCAGTGCGACTCTACTAAAGATTCGCGCCAAGTCTATTTTCTCTGCTTTACGCTTCCAATACGCATCTATCTACACTGAGAAGATCGTTCTAGACAGGAAGTCAAGCACTAAAACTGCACATGTCATCTTGTAAATTTCAAAATAAAACACCATATGCAAACTCCCGACTGTGTATCAGTTGGTGTAGATGAGAAATCCTTCCTGGTTCTGGATTTATCAGTAACTCAGAACAATCTGATGGTCAATCCCTGATCCATGTGGACCCCAACAGGACTTTGACCTGCTAACTCTGTCTGAAGGTAACAGCAGAAAGGAACAGAGTTTACTTTATTAAACATGAGTGAACCTGCAGAAACTTAAACTGTAAAATCACGTTGATTTTTCACAGACAGTAGAGGCTCAATGGTCACTGAATTATATCTAAATTAACAGGAAATCGACCACAGAAAGGAAAAACAACCTGTTGTGAGCGTGTTGTTTCCTCTGTACTGAGCCCAGCTGCTGCTACGCTCCAAATACGCTGATCCTGTGGGTTATAGACAGCGGATCCTGTATGTTCTCGGCTTAAATGTATCCTGACCTTCAGCTGTTCTCCTGCTACTCTTGATTCGCATTCAATCAACTCGAATCAGCTGATTGGCCAAATAATCCATCAATCAGCCAATAAGGTTTAGGAGAACAAACTGAGGAGGAGGCTTCTGGACTTGGATCAGTCTTTTACTCTACGATAAGGTCTTGTTGGTTTGGGTTAGAGTTAGGTTACCATTACAATAACTTGATTACAGATGTTGTTGATTTAGTGGCATAAACTCGACATTGGGTCATGGTCTAATTATCCAAATGTAAAATATTAGTCGGCATGTTCTTCAGTTAGAGGAAAGAGATCACAGCTGATTCATCCTCCAACATCCACGCTCACACTTCCTTTTCCTTCCTCTGCCCCGCTGCGTCTCCTCCACTTGAACCTTCCTGCTGTGGGAAAATGAATTCCTCTCGCTCTGGCGCTCTGGCGCTCTGTGCCGGTTGTTACCATGTTCAGAAAATGCTGCTCGTTTCACGAAATTTCATGGGACCGGGTCGACAAATCGGCTGCGGGGGGTCGGACAAATCACAAAGCGTGTTTCATTTGGATTTCACAAAAAGGGAGGGAAGTTGAAGAGCAGTCGAACTTTGAGCGAGCTGCTTTTGTTACGCCGGCAGTCAGCAGGTTCTTGCCAGGAAGGTCGGAGCGTCTCGGCGGCGTGTGCGCATGGTAATGTAGTAAACCTGCTGCTGAACTTTGCTGAGTGATAATTTTATTCACCTGAAAGAAAAATTGAAGGAGAATATTCTGGATTCACACAATCCGACTTTTAAGTCCGGTGTGCTTTCGCCTCGAGCGAGCGACGCACCCGAGAGCGCCACGGGTGAGGGCGCCAGAAAAGAGTCCGGTGAGAATGAGTGTCTGTCTCATCCTGTCCAGCCGGAGAATCAGGCAGCGATTAGTCTCCCCTGAGCTGTTCATGAAGGACGAGCCAACAGGCCTGTCCTCATTAAGTCTCCATTAGAGGGAGTGTAATGGATTTTTAATGAAGGAGGGAGGGAGACGCAAACACAAAGAAGAGCCGGGCTCGACCCGGACTTCAACGGGCGCCGGGACGGTCCTCACCCTGAATCCTCCTGAACCTCCTTCTTCTCAGAGCAGAAAGAACCAAAACTGGAGTGTAGGATTTGCTGCTTTCAAACCAAACGGACAAAAGAGAAATTGTTGGCGTGTTTTTTTTTGTTTTCCCGCTTTTCTCCTGTTTACCAGTTTTGTCGTCTCGCTCTTAACCAACCCTAAAAAGGTCTAAATGTGGATCTGACGACACTGATGAGAACCAAAAGAAGAAGCAATCAGCGCCTCCTTTTACTGCGAGTGTTTTGTTCTGGCTCCCATCACGAGTTTGACGAACGCCATTAAAAATCCTTTTACGTTTTTCAATCTGCAGCGCCGTGTTGGGCCTGGGAGTGAAGTCATTAAAGCTGCAGCAAACAAAGACGGACGTGTAATCAATCGAAGAGAAGCACGGATGAGACACGGCGTTTTAAACGCTCGTGCGCTTCTTAAAGCTCAAACCCAGAAATTATACGTGATTCTGCATGAATACCAAATGAAGTCTGAAAAGGTTTCCCCACATCAAGTTAAAACATGTAAATTTGAAGCAAAACATTTCTCTCCCTCATTTAAAAATTCTAATCTGAATTTGCAAATATGTGTTTTTCTGCTGGACACAGAAGGACTCACATCATGAAGACTTTCCTCGGTGATTCAGACCCCGAGGTTTCACCTCAAATCTGACGTAACGAGCTCGAAGAGTCTTCAAAATGGTAATATGTTAGAGTCAGAGGTCTGCAGGAGGGCCTGAAAATCTCCAGTCCTTAAGAACCCAGAGGAAAGTGGTCCAGGGAGACCGCTCAGGATGTCATCTACCCACAGAGAGTGAATGCCGTACCCACTACAAGATAATCCAGATTTTAGGCCTGAATCTCCCTCCTGACAAAAAACCTCATCATCTAAAGGGCATTCAAAGCGAGCGCGATTAAAATCATCTACTCGCTTCATTCGCACAAGTCTAGACACTTGAAAGAAAAGTATTTACTCGCTTCATTCATGTGAATAATTTGCTCTATTTGTGACAATCGTTTTAAGTCCATTCGCGCTATTCGCGTCACTCGCACCACCAGAGTAGTACGAGTGTCTAATTGCGTCTTTGCATTGACTTAACATGTAATTAATTTGCACTGACATGTAATTAATTCACAGAAATGATTTTTACTCATGCTTGGTGTGATGATGAAGATTATGTCTTCAGATGACCCTTTGTTGAAAAATTGTCAAAAAGAAATCGCTACGGCAACGGATGTACCAAAAAGCTCTGCAGTTAGTAATTTTTCGTTCCCATATTCACCATAAGACCTGGAAACTGTGAAGACTGGCGCCCAACACCATCGAACATCAAAAGATGGAGTTCAAACAGTTTTTAGTCTCCATCATGGATCCAGATCCAGGCCTGAGGTTTACCGGTTGATCAGGAGCTTCTGGAAGCGCCTTCAGCTGGCTTTCTTCGTAGTTCAGTTGAATCAAAAATGTCTTTACATGAAGTATTTCCTCCCCAATCTTTGAGTCTCTTCTTCTAGTTTTTGGGTGTTAAATCTTTTACCTTTCCCCTTTAGTTTGAGAGGATACGGGGTGCGTGTGTAGAGTGCTAGGCCAGCAATTATACAATTTTACTAAGGCTTGGGATTTCTCAGAGTCACGAGCTGTAAGACTGTGACTTAATTCCTGATGGAAACTAGAAACTCTTGATGTGCTAACAATGAAGAAATCAATTTAGATGAGTGGAAATTAAGATTAAAATGTTTTCTTACCAACTGAGGACAAAAAAAGTTAAGTTTGACGTTTGGGTGACTATCTCTGCTGTAACTGAAAAGACGTTCACTGCAAGAAACGTGTAAAAATTACACAGTGGAGAGAGTAAAAATTGGCAAATTGCTGCAGCTCAGTGAGTACGTTATAGTTAGCTAGTTAGCCATTTAAGGTCTGCTCTGAATGGGGTGTTGGCTCAGGTTCGACCACACCTGCTTTGTCGGCAGTTTGCTAAAGTTGTGTCTCGTCCACTTTTTTTACTGTAGACTGGGAACGTCCATCGAGAGCTGCAGATTTGGAGATGCTCTGATTCACCCCAAATTTCCACCACATGCGGAACGGCGGCGAAAAGGCACTGATCACCGCTGATTATTTCCGTTCAAGTTAATGTGTCAAATTCCACCGTCTTCTTTCCGGCCCCCTGCAGTTCAGCGGGCTTCGTAGCCGATCGCCAGGGTTCTGCTTTTTGTGGACGCCGCAGCATGCCGCATAAATTCAGCACAGATTAACCCGTGCTGGAAAGGAAGTCGGGCACAGACACAAAATAAAACAACTGGCTTCTTTTCAAAATAAAACCCAACGTGTTTCAGGCAGATCATATTTATCACCATGCAAACGTGGGCGGGAACGAACAAGGCGTGGGATGCATGTGACTTCCCGGCAATTTGTG